AAGACTTTATATAACCCTCTATTTAATGTAGTTTTTTTTTTGAAAAAAGCAGACACATAATCTATTTTAGCATTATTATTTTAATATGGTAGCGACTGCAAAACTATAATGATTTTAAGATAGGTTTCAAAGGAAAAATATGAAGTATGTTTGTTCGAACAAGTTTCCTTCATTGCATCGAGTCAGCGGCCTGTATAAAAATGATCTGTAGACTGTAAATTTTACTGTTTTAAAAATAATCAAAGTATGCAATTCATAAATAACATTTTCTTAAGTTTCGAGTATAATTTTTAAAACATACCATTTATTAAAATAACGGAATACGAAGTAGGAATTTTTTCAAACAACATACTTTACCGTAGGCATTTTTTTAAATAACAAATATTGTGGTTCAAATTCTTTTATCTGCAATTAAATATTCTTATATTTTTATATATGACTTACAAATTATTTCCAACAATAAGCTGTTAAAAATATTATGTTAATAACTACATGGTCCTGTTTCCGCCTTCATCTAATCTAGATAATAAGTTTCAAATAAATTATATTATTACGACTTGTAACATGCAAATTATATTATGTAAGAAACATTTTGTATTTACTACAAATTTTTGCGAACTGCCAAGTCATTAAATAGATAATTTAAATTGAATTTTTTATTCAGATGTTTTAATTGTTAGTTGTAATAGTCATTATACGTTCACCGACCTGGATAATATACATTTTTGCAATCAGAATATATGTTTTTAATTTTTGATTACTATATCAAGATTTTAAATTGTGGCTTTCAATTTAATTGAGATTTTGCATTTCATTAAATGACTAGAGGGCAATTTTATTATAATCAAATATAGTTGGAATGAATTTATTATAATCAAATAAATAATATAATTATATTATCAACTACTCAATTGAGAAATTAAAAAATTGAGCCAGAATTTTAGCTTTACGCCGATTCTTTCAAAAATGGTTTTATGGTTTTGAAAATTTTTAAAGCCAGTTGATGAAACTCAATAAGAACTTTCTTTGTTCTAATCAAATTAGTGCAAAATTTTTCGTTTACAGTTCCAAAGATTTCTGCTATGAATCTTTTAAGGTTTTGATAATCTAAAAAAAATATTTTATGATTTTGAAGGCATTTCGGATCAAAAAATAGTGTAATTTGGAATTATGGGTGCCGATTTTAAAAATTTCAAAGGTCTATTGTCAAAATATGAAAAGTTGCTTAGAGTCAATTGTTATTGAAAAAGTCAGGAATTATATATGGGTAAATGACACCTACACCTAGTTCAGATATATATTAAAATATGTTAATGGATGATTTTCAATAGGCTTTAATTAACTATATATAAAATTATAAATTTGAAAAATTGAGATGGTATAACTCAATGAAAATAATATTTTATAAATGGAGCATAGGTAAAGACGACAAATAAATTTAGGACGTTTATAGATTGTGATTTAGAGTTTAGGCAAAGGACATGAATGTACGCAGGTACAGCCATGTTCTCTCGCCTGTAATACCAAAGTAATATTAAATAAGATATAAGTACATTCTGTGTCATTTGCGTAGTTAGTTGGTTTAGTTTCCACAGGTAATTACAGGGTGTTTATAGAAGTCGGGTTAAGTAGTTGGAGTAACCCTTTCGTAATGGGGGTGCAACGCTAAGATGTAATATTTGGCAGTCGTTGCATACCCCGAGAAAGGGCCTAATAACCTTTTATTCGCCACAATATGTTGCATTGCCATATATTTTATTGCAATAAACCATTATCCAATAAACATAGATACCTGATCATTTATAGCTTTATTGCAAAATACAATTAACACATAATTATCACATATAAACTTCATCAGTCCACATATTCTTTGTATAATAATACCAAGTTGGCGTCAAATTTCAACACATATGGAAACCATCATATCACAATCGAACCACATACATCATATCCATCTAATACTTCACCTCTACCACCTATTATTGTAATAATGGGTTATTTGAACCCACTCGTGCAATAAGTTATTGATCTGGAACCTGGATCAATTCTGTGGTTTTATTCACTAAGGCGTCATGTGAATTGTGTGATTTTCCCACAAGAAATGGATTCTAATAAGAAAATTGTGAGGGCGGAGGACGTGGATGTAGAGACTTAATTTTATTAGACAATGATCGAATAAGTTTTAAGTTTTGAAATTTAATCACTTGTAGGTGGTTCTGATAAAATAATATCGGTATTATAATTTTGTCTACTTAAGATTAACACGTTCGCGAGCAGTACAAGTTTCAACAAAGTACAAAACTTGAGTCATTTAATTTTTAAACTGGTTGTGATATCCAAAATTTGATTAATTTGAAGTATAGATTATCATATTTTAATCGTTATATACGATGAATGCTATAGCATCCACGTCAAGTATTGCGCTTCTGAAACGTAAAGATATGCAAAAATTTTCATTTTCGATTTTTGGACCATTACTATAACCTCCCCTACGGGAAGTTAATGATTGACTTCAAAATTACATGTGTCATTAAATAAAAATGAATGTTATAGCATTCACGTCCGCGAACGTGTTAATGTTTTTCTGTATACTCAGGTCGCTATATTAATTTTGTACATCTATCAGTATAGCATTTTAAAATCGAAGTATTAATATTTTATAAATAACGCCTAGTTGTTGGAATGAAAACAAGCGAGAATGATCAAAGTTACTTTCTCTGATCCGAATAAGGTGTATTTTTGTTATAAAAATCTACATATATATTTATAAAGGTGTATAACCAGATGGAAGCACTATAATCAAATATGCCGGTCAATTTAGGCTAGAATCATAATGGTCTGTAACTTTAATCGATAAAATTGCTTCAAATACAACTATGAAAAAGATCTCAAAAGTCCTCATCGTTTTGGTGCCAGCTAAAAAATTGACGCAATGTCAAAGGTAAAATAAATTAATTTTTTGTGATTTTCAGCTAAATGTTCTCCTTTATAGCTAAAATCTGGTGCTCCTTTACCTTTACTCTACCTCTACCTTTACCTGGTGTTACCTGGATTATAATTTCCGAAGAAAAACGTGCCATTACACAACAAGTCTGAAAATATCTTACTTCATCTAAAAAAATATCTTTCAAGGAAGTATTTAGGACTTTGAAAGGAAAATATTAGATATAAAGGGAATGACGTCATAAATATTGTCTTATATATATATATATATATATATATATATATATATTTATATATATATATATATATATATATATATATATATATTATTCCATATCATCAATTTCACTTTTATGAACTTTCTCGATTAATATAATATTTATTTCGACATCGTATTATACATTTGTCAAACAGGTGACATTAATTTGCTATAAAATTTGAATATATCGATGGATAACGTAAGTTCAGGGTTTTCTATTTTTAAATAAATAAAATAAAGAAATCATCAATAACCATAATATAACATTTATATAAAAGGCAATAAAAGATTGGCCATTTACAGTAAAAAATCAATTGTAGTACTTAGAATTAAGATAAAATATAAAACATTTTTTCAAACATGTATACAACAGTTTCTTTAGTAATAATCAACTTTTTTTTAAATTAACTGAAATAATTAGGAAATTAAATTAGCTAAAGATATTTATTTAATAGAGAGAAATTTTCTTAGTAACATTAATAAAAAAATCTACAAAATATAAGTTCATTATATATTCATATTCAACTATATGAATAATTATTAAATCATTATAAACATTTTTTCAAAATTTTGATTTTTTTTTTATTCAATAATTTTTAAGCAACAATTTTGACCTGTTGCCTATTTTGACATTCAAGTTAGTTGTCTTTATAATTGCTATATTGTTCACTTTTTTGTTAATTAGGCTTCTTATGATTTTTATTTAATTAGACTTAAATCAAATTTCATATATATATATATATATATATATATATATATACATTTTATTTCAATCATGTTTTTATGAATACTGTCATATTAATATTTTTAAAACATAATTAAGACATTGTTAGTGCTCTTTTGACTAAAACCTGTGTATAATTTACTCTGTTTTTTGTTAATATATTATTTAATCTTTTATTTATCAGGCATTTTAGAAATTTTTCGATAACATTTCTATTAATTAACATAGACAAATATATCAATAAATATAAGTTTCGAGAAATGTATTTGTAAACTGGTATATTCCAAAACGAATAACACAATAAATATGTAACATGGAGTAGGCATAAATAACTTTCTATTACTGATGTATAAATCTATAAATTTTGATAATTGACAGAATTTGTTAAACATAAAAACATAGTAAAAACCACCTTATTTTTACCTTATACAAATATTACTAAATTTGGTGAAGTATATTTCAATAAGATTTTTTAAAATAAAAAATTGCTACTTTTTGCTTTTGGCTAAACTAAAATCATTATAGCATGATTAAGATTTCATAATTGCAGACATCCAAATGTAATTTTCCTTATCAATCTTAATAATAAAAATTTGTCTGATCTCTATCATGTGTCTAATGACTGAAATATATATATTTTTATCGAAATAATAATAATAAAATATTTGTTTTATATTTTTATTAACAATAAAATACAATATATACAATACATAATACATATCTAATAGAGTTGATGGTGGCATGATGATTTGATGATAAATTATGATGATTACTTGATGTAAATGCCTTTTCTTCATAGTCGTTTCAATCACTTAATTTATACAGACTAGTTTAAATAAAATCTCAACGTATTTAGCAAGAAAAAAATCAAAATTGTTTCATAAATTTTGGATGTGAATCATACTGATTCATAAAACATTGTTAGAATAATTTGATGAGAGTCAGTGGCGACATGAATTTAATACTGAATTGAGATGACGAATTTTTAACCCGAACATAATCTCTTGATTTCTAATTGTCTAAACATTTTTCGGGATATGTCAAATTCTATATATCAATTTTAATAATATATTTTCACGATGATTCCTCAGCAGTCCTCTTAGCATGTGTTCTGGGTTGCAATTCCGTCGAATATGCGATGGTGTCATAGGCCTGAGATGATGATCCCACATGGTGTGACAACTTTCCTGCATTCTGATGAGCTGCTAAAATTACCGAACTTGGGATGTAAGAATCCAAAAGACTTTGAGGTGGTTTTGAGAAATGGTGTCTTGCTACAGCATCATATGATGGTTGCAAGGCGTGCCTGAGGAATGTTTCAGGATGGTAATGTTGGATGTATGCTTGTTGGACAGCTGGTTGCTGATGCTGGATGTAATATTGTTGCTGTGGAGCATGGGCGTAAACTTGATGTTGTTGCTGTTGCACATGATGTTGAGAATGTTGCTGGTGCTGTACTTGTTGAGCGTGATGTTGAACTTGTTGAGCGTGATGTTGCGCTTGCTGTTGATGACCATAAAGTTGTGCCTGTAATTGAGCTTGGACTTGCGCTAAAACTTGAGGATCTACGTAAATATATTGTTGTTGATGATGTTGTTGTTGCTCGTGGTGTCCGTGACTTTGAGCTTGGGCAGCCCCATAAGTCTGTGACGGCACTTGAGCTTGTTGCACGTAAGTCTGAGCTGGTACATGTTGCTGTTGCACGTAAGTCTGTAATGGAACGTGTTGCTGAACATAAGTCTGCGCTGTTTCTTGATGACTATGGGCTACAGTATTTGGATAAATATAAGCCTGAGTATGTGTCGGCACTTCTTGAGCTTGTGCTTGGACATGATGTTGCTGTACAGTTGGCTGATGTTGCTGAACATGAGTAAATGAATATTGTTGCTGAGCTTCTTGACCGTGAGCAGTCTGATGCGTGTAGGATTGTTGTTGAGGTACATAGTATTGTTGAGCAACTACTTGTTGGGGTTTGACATAAAACTGTTGAAGTGCCCGATGTTGATATTGCACGGGTTGGTAATAATATTGAATTTGCTGTTGGGGTTGAGGTTGTACGTAAACTTGTTGTAGTTGATGGAGTGCTTCAGCTTTAGGCAGGGGAGGTGGTGTTAAATCAGGGATGTGTTGTGTTAGGGCTTCTGCTTTAGGGCTTTTGGCGTATACTTGTTTTGCTGCTTGTGGCACGAAGGAATAGCTTGGTCGTCCTGATGATATTTCTAAGTTCTTTTCGTTTCGGAGGTTGTCATTCTCGATGTCTTCTAACTTGGTCTGTTTTTGAGGCAAGGACTGGACGTAGTGTAGTGATGTAAATACTACGAACGCCAATGTCCAAACTCCCTAGAATAATAAAAGAAAACAATAAATATAAATAATAGATAATGCAATTATGTACAATGTTTTAGCACTTTATCTTAGATAATTATTTCATTTTATAGTACGTATAATTTGATTATCAATGATTAGGGTGTATCCAAAAGTATGGATGAGTACAAGTGATATTGACTCCAGAACTAATGCACATTATTTTCAATAATTTTTACAGTGGTTTTTTAATATCTTATCTCTACAATTTTCACTTTCGTACGACAACTGGCTTGAACAAGTTAATCCAATCACTTAATGATATCACTTTATTTTCATCACTTTTTGCACTTTCACAGATCGATCGTCCAAATCGAGCAACACATTTTCCATCTTACCTTTCTGAACATGTTCGTTAATTATTTGAACGAATTATCCTATAAAATGTAGCTCCTTCTGGGGAACCTACACGGCTGTGCACCTGTACAGTTTTGATAAACAAATGACAAATTAGACAATCTATATATACTGGTCCCCCACTTCTGATCTGGTTCATATGTTCCTTTCTGACCAGCTCTTCGATGCGTGTGTTGTCCGAGAATGTATTGCGTTATTCATTCTTGCAGATTCTGAAGAACATTTCTTCTTTCACCGAAAATTCGATTGCTCCACGTGCCAGAGGTCTTCAACCTGAGAAGGAATATTATGATACATATTATGCTCAAAAAATTTATTTGAATCATTTAAATGTATTTTAATTACTTTATTTTTATATATTATTTATTTTATTCATATTACTTTTGCTATTGCTCTTGTTATTCATGTTATTTATTCTTTATTGATTTTTTTAGTTGATTTTAATTTATTTTATTCACATTTTTTAATATTTAATAAAATTTGGCAAAGGCAAGTTCAGCCGTTTTGAAAATACGGGGTAAAAAGTGCCAAAAAATGTATTTCAGTTTTTGAGCGAACGTAGTATCTAATTCTAATAATCCAAAAAACATTTTACTTGTATTGACAAAGTGAATAACTGAGTGAATTTTTGTGAAGGCAAATCTTCGATAAAAATGGACATGGTGTTTTAACTTATTAATGTAAAAGGTGAGCACAGTTTTAAATTATCTAGAATTATTTTGGTTATTTTTGTGTTGCTGTAATCTCTTCATTAAATTCTTGCTCGTTTTTCCAATATAAACTAAATTGCAATCTATGCAGTTGACTAATTTGATAAAAGCTATTTACGAGTCGTTCGAAGTTCGTGGTTTATAGGACACTCTTATGGCTTTATGAGTTAATATATATATATTGTTCTTTCCATCGATTATTTTCATTAAAATTCTACCTTATCTGCCGTCCATCAATTTGAAGTCTCCTCGGATGTTTTAGTCTCTTTTTAATATATCTGCCGGAGATATGCTGTTCCGAGCTGGCGGCGGCTCACATATGCAGTTTTACTTTCATTTGAAGACTTATTTTTATTTTATTCAACTTTATGAGAAATTGAACATTTCTCAAGTCATTCGAGTCACCTGAAATTTGATATAAAGCTTTTATAACTTGTTAAATGACGTAAAAGAAAATATAGTAAAGTAATCTTAAAATTACTCCAAATTTAATGTATACAGACGTTTGAGGATGTGAATGCTATAGCATACATTTTCATGACATGAATGCTATAGCATTCAAATTTTATATAACCTTACGTTTTTGTAATTATACCTGTCAAGGTTATTATACATATTTGCGGACGTGAATGCTATAGCATTCATTATCATTGCCATACATAAATACTATAGCATTCCAATTTTATATAACCTCACTTGTTTTAATTAATTATACCTGTCAAGGTGTAATGACAAACCGATTATTTAGGAACTATCTTTTCTTTTCCCCTAGTCACTAATTAGCTTCGGCAATCACATTGCCTAAATTAGAAGCGCAATACTTGACGTGGATGCTATAGCATTCATCGTATATAACGGTTAAAATCAGATGATCTGGCTACCTTCATAGAAGGTGTGTAATCAAATTATATATATATATATTATATATATATATATATATATATATATATAATTATGTGTTGAAAATTTATAAAAAATATCTTTAATTATGTAAATTTGAAAATTACTTCAGTTTGCTCATTAGATAATGATCTGTGTAGAAGAGGACTAACAATAAAATCGCTTTTTCAATATAAATTAATTTAGTTAGAATTCGATTAATGCCTTGCGACTTCCCAAACCATCTCATACCATTACAAAAAATTGATTAATTGAATTGATTGTTAAAAAAATATATAGTAACATTGTTCCCCGGTGTTCTATTCGAACTACAAACAAACAATCTTGCTCCTGCACCTGTCCCAGCAAAATCCATAACAAATTAATAAAGCCATTGTATTTATGCAAATCTAAATCATTCATAGATTTTTACAACATGCAAAAACAAATCGTAAACCAAAATCAACATTTGTTCCGTGTTCATATTTTGCCTCTCGGTAAGGAGATTGTCAGAGTCAGAATTAGAAAGTGGAATCTGGTTCCATCCATACTGAATCTGCACTGATTCCATTACGAATGCGTACGAGTATGAGTTTTTGCAAGTTCTGATGTAAATTTTAGTCGTAATAAGAGCTTGTGTATACTTTTGTTTTGTGTGAGGTAATCAATGGGTTTTTGCAGAAATCACCAGGCTGTAATTGGCAGCTTTGATGGTGAGCTAATTGAGGAAGGGTTTTTTTGGTTGTTGATAGAGAAAATCAATCTGTGGAGAAATATGGTTTGAGGGTATTTTATTTTTGTTGCACTAGCCTCTGGGTTGTGTTTAATCAATTTATAAAATGATTTGTATTAAGAATAGAAAATTTGAGAGTAATGTCACAAACCAAAAATCCATTTCTAAATTAGTTGGGCATGTACTAGTATCACCAATCCCTGCGATAATTTAGAATATTTCTCTTCAACCATACAACATAACTTGGCTTCAATTTTGGACAAAATACAGAATTCTGATGTTTTACAAAAATTGTGTGTTGATTATTTTGACTACTAACTACCGGAAACCAACCCAAGAGTTATCTTATCCTAGTTCTGATAATTTTTCTTTAGAAGGCAAATCAAAGATTGTTTTTTTCAAATCATCATGATATCTTTAAATTCGTACTGTTCTAATTGTAAAATTATTTAGTAAAGTTAAAAGTTCATTAATATTCATATAGAAAATGACTATTTTTTTTTTTTTTTTATTAACGACTAATTGACATCTCAATATCACAGACAATTAATATTTTTATTATATGTCAAATATAATTTTATTCGCGTCGATAAAATAATTAGTATAAATAATATCTCAAATATACAATAATTAATAACAAGAGAAAGAATTATTTTCTTCTGATATAGTCATTATGTAACAGATGATTCAAAATATAATTGAAATATTCAAAGAGAAAACAAATTGAATAATTTAAATTTAATACACATCCAATTTGTTGATGAATAATTAATAAGCTAGTTCGCAAAACTCCATTTGCAACATTTAATAAATTCAATTTAAAAATATAATTATTTTATCGAATAATGATTAATTATTCAAAACGTTTTACGTAAGTACTTATATATTTATCTCTTAGTTTTTAAAAAACAACGATAAAATCAGCATATAGATCAGTTAGAACAATTCTCTCACATTTATCAACTTTCACCCATATTTAGTAGATATTAACAAGACAGTTTTAATTACATCCGATTGATGCAAAATACATGTTGTTTTTCTCACAAAAATTTATTTTCGCTCATTTAAGAAAGTTGAGATTAGATGGTGCACTTAAATCTGTACATTCTAATAGTAAAATTGGAAATGATAATGTCATGGTAAAATAGTGTCCAAACCGTTGTTTTGTCTGGAAAACATTACTTCATACATAAATAATTTTTGAGACTAGGAATCCAGAAAGGTAATAAGTTTTTCCATAAATTATATGATAAAGACGTCCTGGTGCAAAAAACAGGTATAGCTGTTTCGGCGATAAGAATCTAGTGTATCAAAAAGTGACAGTTCTGAAAGAAAGAATTATCTGATTAAATGGAGAGAAAAATTGATTATATTTATATAAAGGCAGGCCCAACATATGCAGGAAAACGATTAAAATATTTACATTTTATCTGCAATGATCATTACAAATAATTATTATTGACTCATATACATGTAGAAATATTGATACCCAAAAATACACCATACATATAATGTTAACTTAGATTTAATGTGAAAAACGCTAGATGACACAGCAAATACGGCCTACTTTAATAGAGAATTGGCTTCTATTTTTTATGCATTTATATGAAATATTGAATAATATAATTTTAAATAAATAAAAAACTAACATGCATGTAGATCACAATCCCAGGTGTGTCAACGAACGCGCGTTTATTTTCGCCTCAAGGTAAAGTTACTTTGCAGAGCAGCCGATGATGTTTTATCTTTTTTTTTTTCTTTTTAAGAGAAAGGATTCTTCAGGTTCGAATACATGTTTCGGTATTTACACATAATAACAAGCCATGTGTAACAGCCGAGAGAAGGCGAAATGATGGGATTAAATGTAATGTAATGACGTTATAAAACGAAATTATAACACAGTGGAATAATGTTTCCTGAATCGATAATGAGTGAATTAGCCGAATTGTTTGTTGTAAAAAATAGTTGGAAACTACAGTGCCTAGGATAATTAAATTATAAAGTACTAATAAACTAGGTCTGGGTAAGTCGGTTTATCTCTTGCCTCTTGTCCTCACAAAAACCACTATTAAGCATTACTTAGTGGGAGGAGGCTCTAGGGTCTGGAACAATATAATTCTCACTCTTAATCAGACATCAGAAAATTTAAGATACCTCTTACACCTTGTTGAAAAATATTTTATAACTTGATGAAATGTGATGAATACCATTTAGCATTACCTGGTTAAAAAAATTCGAATGTACATTGACAACTATCGATGGTAAATATATTGTCCATAAGCACTTTATATTTTATTTTTGCACTTTCCAATATATCACACAAGAAAATAAAATCCTGAAACCATATTATTTATGTCTAGCTTCTATTAACCTTTCACATACCTTATAAAATAGCAAAAAAACTTGTATAAGAGATTAAAAGCACCTTTTACCATCGATAACTTCTTCTTTCACATGAAATCCTGTCCTGGATTCTCATCGTAGATTGAGGACCTGTTTCTATTTAAATAAAACATTTATAAACGACAGGTCCAAATTTTTGCAAGTCAATGCACAATGCAAAAACAAATGTATAATTAAGTATTTATAATAGAAAGTTTGGGATTGCCTGAATTACGTTATAGGTGATGACAATAAATTAAATTTAGAACAATGAATTGTTGGAATAGAA